GACCAGGCTCTCACATCACCAAGCGCGAAGCGCCGTGAGATATTCGGCGAGTCGCATGAAGGGTGCGCTGCATCCTGCTAAGGGTGTTCGGCATCTTGTGCTTACTTCCTTACGTACGTATGACAGCTGCGTATGACTTAGTTTACCTTCTGGTGCTTTCACTTCCAGAGACAGTTGTAAGCACCGTGTAACTGCCTCGGGGGTGCTTGACCATTTTAACACAACGTGGTGCGATCATCCCCCTTGCGCGGAGTGAGGGTTCTCCACCCCGCACAACATGATCTACTCGACCACCATTCTGGTTACCGCCAAAAAAAAAAAACGGAGGTAAAAAAAAAAAAAAAACGGTAACCTGGTTGCCGAGATCACGAAGTGAATTGGCCTGTTTTACAACGTCGTTGCCAAGCGACGAAAACCCAACCCCGATGGCAGGGGGGGGGATTACCAGCAATCGGTGAGACTCTTAGATAACGACAACGTGCACTGTCCAAAATTGATAGGTCAGAGGTACCGGTGGGGGTGGTGGGTTGACTGTTGGTCACGTGTTGAGACGATTCAACTCCACACTTGCGCGCGGCGCGGATAAGACGGACCCCTCAAACCGTGCCCGATAAGACGCTCGGGTGCGCCGTGGTGTGTCCTATTTAGCACCCACCTTCCTGGAGAAACACAGCACATGGACACTTCCCTACACCCACGAGTACGAACTCAACACCAGCAAAAGTCTGTCCACCACCACATCGTCAAGTGCTGCCGCAACAACTACACCATTATTCGGCCAAGTCGGGGGGGTGGGGGGCGATCTCCCACACTATTTGACAAATGTGCACCGCTTCCATGGGAGTATGAATGAGCTTCCATGGGAGTATAAATGAGCTTCCATGGAAGTTGGATCTACTTCCATGGAAGCTACACGTTTCGCACTTCGCGAAACGACACTTCCATGGAAGTGCGATTCACTTCCATAACCCTAACCCTATGAAATATGGATGTGCCACTTCCATGGAAGTGGACTTCCACGGAAGTCCCATGGAAGTCCCGTGGAAGTCCCATGGAAGTGGAATAGCTTCCATGAAAGTTGAACTTTAGGCTTCCATAGGGTGTATTCAAAACAGATTGAGGGCAGCTTACATGGAAGCATTCAACCTCGGGTTAGCTTCCACGGTCTTATCGGAGTTAGGGTTGTAGGGTTAGGGTTAAGATTAAGATAGAGAAGCTCGAAATGACTGTATGTCCAGACGCTTCCGTGGTGTTGCTTTTGGGTTAGGGTTAGGGTCAGGGTAGGGAAGCTGGAATGACCACGTGTCCAAACGCTTCGATGGAAGTTGCTTTCATGGAATGTGCTTCCACGGAAGCCGGTTTCGACCTCCGTCACCCACTTCCATGGCATTTGTTTTCATGGGAGTTTACGTGCTTCCATGAAGTAGCAGAGACTCTGTCAAGCGACGAGTTTTCATGCAAGTAGAACTTCCACGGAAGCTCGTCGCGCTTCCGTGGAAGTCCGAAATGCAACTTCCATGGAGGCAACGAGCGGTTGATATCGGGTGCGTCCATGGAAGCGGATCAACTTCCATGGAAGGGGATTAACTTCCATGCAAGTTGTTTACCGCTTCCATGGAAGCATCATGGAAGCTGCAACCCGAAACAGACGAACAGATTCCATGAAAGTCCAATCGATTTCCATGGAAGCCACCTGACTTCATATTTCACTTCCATGGAAGCAACAGTGACTTCCATGGAAGCTTATTCCATTTGTCAAGTAGTGCAGGTTATCCGGGGGGGGGGGGGGGGCATCAACGAAAAGCATCCCACAATTCAACGATCGCAACAACGCTACTATACCCGGCCGCCGCATTTATGCTTGCCTGTTTTCGGGGCGTACAGATCCTTCTCGGCAAAGCCGATCTCCGCCATGGCGAGTCGCTGCAGCCGATCCCCCCCCGGCGAAGCCACGCTCTTCACGGCTCGTCGGGGCGGCGGCATGGACGTCCCCGGCCGGGCCAACTCCTCCCCCAAACCCTTGTCCCCATCTCCCCCACCTCCGCCACCGCCGCCACTGCCTCCACCTCCGCCGACGGGTCCAACCCTCGCCGCCGCCTCACCCCCCACCCCGCTCCCTGCCATCCCGTTTCTCAAAGGCCGCCCCACCCCTGCCACCGCTCCGGCAACTGCAAATCTGTCCGCCGGTGATACAACCCCTCGTGTGTCGACCGAAGTCGGATCTGTTGGGTCCGTTACGTTTGTTCCCCCCACCCTTTTCCCTGATCCTACCCCACCTCCTTGGGGAAGGGGGTCCCGTGCAGGGAAACTTGGGTAGGGGGGCGGGGGAATGGTACCACCACCTGCGGTGCCGCTGCCGCCGACGGACGGGGGGGCGGAGACAGCGTGCTGGTCTCTCAGCGCACTGCCTAAAACAAGGCAGGGGGAAGCCAGGGGGGGGCGACGGTAGGACCGAAGCGTTAGGCCTACATCACGCGGTGACATGTGGCGGTAGTACTGGCAACAGGATGCAGATGCAGCGCGAGATCGAGTGATCCTTCAAGTATCGAGAAAGGGGATGAGGGAGTCTGCATCGGCTTCATCTATATCGTCGGGAGTTCGCTTGTAGACCCCCAGATTGCGCAGCCACAGCAAACCAGATATCTCAAACGGCGGCGAGCCGCTATGGTTCTGATCGAACACGTCGTCGACTCACTGCCGGGGTGAGAAGATCTCGTGATTCCCGGTGGCAGGTTCGCCGCCCCCCGTAGCTCGGCCTTGATGACTCGAAGGTCGTCCAGGTTAGATCGGATCTCGTTCTGCAGCTGTAGTAGCGACAGGGCAGAAGAAGTAGCAACAGGAACACGTGAGGCATCGGAATCGCGGCGTTGCAACGGGGGTAATCCAGAGGTCACGCTCAGCGCCGTTGTGGTTTCAGGGCGCACGGAAGGAGGCCGGTGGAAAAACGCAAAAAACGGGTGATGGGGTGGGGGGGTGGGGGGGCAAGCAAGAGCATGCGTGAGACTGCCGTGAGCATGAAAGAATGTGTGTGGACGCACATAGTCAGTGATACACTTGTGGAGACAAGCCCCCACCCTTGCTCGGTGCGACAACGAATGGGTTGCTGTTGGTTTCGCAAACATGGTCTGATTGGCCTCGTGTGTGATTGCTGGCACTACTCCCTCGGCTGCCTTCAAACATTCGATCCAATGGTCAAGATCGACCGGCATGAACACCTCAGATAAATCCGAGGATGAAAACTACAGATGGATATTCGTTGTGTTGTACGTAAAGAAAACAAACCATCAGCACTATTTATCCTCCAAACACACACAACAAACACAACAACCTGGAGGAGATCGCTGCCTTGTGAAAGCTCGTTCATCCGCGCCCTTCCGCCTTGCACCAGCCCGGAGACCTTGCCGACACCGCGACCAGCCAAGCGGAACACCAGAGGCATGTCGCGCTTCCCTGTGCAAGACACGATTAGTACAGTTAGTGGTTTTCAGTGAGCACGAGGATGGCGGAGGTGACCGGGCGTACTTGGTAGTCTGGCGACTGGCTGCCACCATAATTCGAATGATGCTCTCAAAAGATGAGATGTCGTAAATTTGCTGTTGTAGATGGCAACCAAGGGGGTCCACTATACTACTACAATATTGCTTCAGACTGCTGTTGCAATATTGGTATTTGCGTACCTACGCGCAAGCAATAGCGAGAGGCACCCCGGTATTCTACACACAAGCTCAAGGGGCGTGGTCGGCTAGGTTGCACAGAGACGGTTGCACTTGGACAGATCCTACGCCCGCTTGTACAGCAGACACATAGAAAATACACAACACAGCAGCAGCACCCAGCCTTACGTATCTACGCGCGATGAACGCAGTCGGCACCCGTTGCCTCATCGCGGCATCGCGGAACGGGAACCAATACGGGCACGGGGCGTGCCTTGGCAAACCGAGACACTACATATGCAAGTATTGGTACAAGCATGCGGAGAACACGGTTTGAGTGCAGATATCTCCGGAGATCCGACCAGACCGACCGAAGGTGAGGTGTAGGGCTCACCGAGCAGAAGAATAGCAGCTCCACCGATGACCAACATCTCCGCCATGCCCACGTCAAACATGGTGCAACGTCCCGCCGTTCCCTACGGCACCCCTGAGCCAGCACTGCACCACAGGAAGACTGCCTCACATTGGCGCCCCGCCCCGTGACTGCATGATGGCATGTGGAAACCTACCAAGAAAACCACGAAGAGCCTAGCTGCGTCCCCCCCTCACCGCTCCCCGTCGCCGCCGCCATTCCACCACTTCCACCGCCAGCATCATGAAGCGAGCTCACGAGGATATCTCTCCTGCAGCAGCCAATGGAGACCCGCCGAGCAATGCCTCAGAACCAGTCGTAGCCGAAAACGGAGGTGCGGAAAGTGAGGGGCAGGGCGCCGCAGCAGCAGCAGCAGGACAATCTTCGGCAGCAGCAGCAGCCCCTGCTGCTGCTGCTGCTGCTGTGGCGGCGGCGGCGGCGGCGGCAACAACGGCGTCTGTGGCAGGGGGGTCGGCCGCGGCGCAGCAGAGGAAGAAGTGCCCCTACCTCGACACGATTAATCGCAACGTGCTTGACTTCGATTTCGAGAAGGTGTGGAACAACGCTGCAACATTGCTACGCTATTGTTGTCCGGAAGGAGCAACTGCCCTCTCTCCTCCGCGACGTTAGATACTGGAGAGCCAGTACCGTTGACGATCTGATGCTGTACTGCTACTGCTGTAGGACATGACGCTTTTCCGCGGGGTGAAATCGCACTTGTGATCTTAATTGGAAAAATCCATTGGGGACAGGCTCTGATAACGCTGGCCTTGTTTCTTGTGCTATAGTACAGTATGCGGTGACCGTCTACACGGCAGCTGTAGCGTGCTTGCTGCTGCGCTGTTGTCCGCAGGTCTCGTTCTCTGCAAGGCCACTGCTGCCATGTGACTACAGCAGTAGTACAGTCGCAGCGCAAATTTTGACGTTCGCGTGAGATGGGGACAGCGGTGTGTGCTCAATAGTCGCAATCGTTTTCAGTGTGGCGATCAGCACTGCCGACTGAATAGGCCATCTTTTTGATAGGACCAAGTCAACCCCCCACCCCCCCCTCCATCTCCCTCTCTCTCTCTCTCTC